TCTGCTAACATCCATTGTTGTAGTCATTTAAATAATTCACAGTGTGTTTTCAGAAAAAAAAATGCACTCAGCCTGTCAGCATCAACATGTCATTTTCTCTGAGACCATACAGTATAGATATGTATGTGTGTTTCAAGGCAACCTTACAAAAAGTAAATCACACATACACAACTTGGAAAAGTTTAGAGACAGCATGGATCCCAAATTCAATGGATGAGATCTTCACAAAGCAATTCAAATCCTTGCTGTGAATCGTGGAGCAAGAATAAACACTAAAAGCTCCCATATACCATGGACCTGCACTGCCCATCCCATCCTGTAGTGTGTTAGCTACTGAGCTGAAACACAGAAGGGAGAATACCAAGATTACATTGTCCACTTTATAAGCAGAACCTAACATAAAAAAAGAAATGGATTTTGAAAAACTCCAAAACAAGTGGATTCAACACATAGGATTTCTACACCCTCTCCAAATCATAACATATCCAGCTGAAACTGAATACTCTTTAAGCAGTTTGATATGCAAACTCTTTTTTGGTGGTGAAATAAAATAGGCACTTAAAAGCAATAGATCCAAAACAACCCAGTTGCAGTCCAAACAAATAAAGAAAGCCATAACTATTGAAACCATAGAAGTCTGTCTTCTCTAGTTATTTAAATATTGTTTGGAGAAGATTTTGCATGAGCAGGGCAGAATCTAATAGTAATATTTAACACTAAATTTCACAAGCATTTAGGGATTCATTGTGTCTATAGAATTCTCACCATCAAAGAAAATCCAATATAAAATTTTTCAGACTCTTCAAAGACTGTAAATAGCATGATTCATTTTTGTTGCTGCAATTTTGCTGTCAAGTCTCTTTGGGTTTTAGTCTCTAAAAGTCAGTATCTGAAATTTTAAACCCCTCAAGCTTCAATTGCATTGTGGCTTTTCATACAGAATTGATATCAACCTTGACTTAAGTATTAGAAAATTACAGCATCTTTCAATCACAGTGTAATTAAAAAAAGTTTTCAAATAAATTGAACATCAATTCAGAGCAAATCTCTATTTTCACTGTAAACACAGTGCCAGAATTCTTCACACTAAAAAGTGGTCTAAAAGCAACTGTTAAAGGGATTTTAATGGAACCTAGTGTCATCTACAATTCAATTTACAAAATGAGCTACATTTTAGAAAACAACCCTTTAGACAAGCAATATCGTTGCAGCAATTTTGAGTCAAAGTTCTAATCAAGTCTAATTTATTTCAAAGGGTTTATAGTTATAAATACAGATTTACAATATTTTAATATCTTAGTATATGTATCTGACTGAATTAATATTTCTTGCACAACACAAACCTACCATTTAAAGCACAAGTTCCAGAAGTTGCACAGTTCTTAGTGTTTCTGCATAGTCTCCTTTGGAAACAGATTTGATAATAATTTATGAATTATTATATAGTGTGGTTCCATGGTTTAACCCCAGCCAGCAACCAAGCCCCACTCATTCCCCCACCAGCAGGACTGGGGAGAGAACTGCAAGAGTAAAAGCAGGAAAAGTCAAGAGTTGATATAAAGGCAGCTTAAAAGGGAAAGCAAATTTGTACACAGAAGCAAAGCAGAACACGTAATTGAGTCACCACTTTTCAAGAGCAGACAGGTGTTCAGCCATTTCCAGGAGAGCAGGGTCCCATCACATATGACAGTGACTTGTGAAGACAAATGTTACCACTCCAAACATCTCTCTCTTTCTCCTTTTCTCCACGTTATATACTGAGCGTGATGCCACATGGAATAGGCTTTTTGGTCAGTTTGGGTCACCTGTCCCAGCTTCTGTCTTCTCCCAAAGCAGCATGGCACACAAAAAGCAGAAAAGCCTTGGCTCTGTGCAATCCCTGCTCAGCAGTAACAAAAACATTTCTGTATTATCAGGCCTGTGTTCAGCACAAATCCAAAACACAGGTCCATATCAGCCACTGGGAAGAAAATTAACTCTGCCCCAGCTGAAAACAGTGCATGTGGTTAGATTTATATGAGGAGATCCATCTAGGATTGATCCAATCTTTGGTAGAAGTCTCAGTTTTTCAGGGTGTTTAAGGAGGGTGCAAACAAAAACAGCAGAACTGTAACACTTTTCTAAGCAGAGAGTATTCTACATTCCAGTGGATTTAGAGATATACCCTTAACACATTAAAAATAAGAAGAAAATGGTCTTCCAGACTCTACAGTGATATAAAACAATTCCAAATCAACAGGTGGTAGTCCTTATTCTGGTTTTGCAAAGCTCATAGCAGATATTGTATTTCAAGACTTAGTACACTAATTAAATTATTATACCCACTAAAAAAAGTGTAAATTTCTTTAGTATAAATAACAAAGAACAGTATAAAAAAATTGTTGCATGTATTTCCTTTTTTGGTTTGATATTGTAGCCACTGATGTAAATGTTATAAAATGAAAATGAGACATTCCAGGCAATGTAGGGATAATAATTTTTAAAATCAATCATAAAAAACATTTTCCACGCCATCTAAGGAGTTATACAACAAAATTGGTGTAGGGAAAAAAACGGTTTTTGTTAGTTTTGTTTGTTTGCTTGTTTTTAAATCAGGTCATTATTTGTTATCTGCACAGAGGCAGGATGACTTCCTTCCTCTGTAAGATCTTTTGATCTTTATGTTTTCCTTAGCAAACATCTGAATTTTTTCATCTTCCAAATGTAGTTCTTGAAAGCATGAAGAATGGGTCTATTTCTCAGAACATTTATCCTAAGGTGAGCAACTCTGTTTCAAATCTGTTTTCACCTGAGATGCTTCATGCCTTTGACAACAGTTCCCTAAACATCATCTAATTTGAGCAACAGTCACGCTCCACTGCCCTTGGGGAAATGAAGAAACTGTGAAGAAAAGAGCACAAGCTTCAGTGCATCATGGAAAAAGAAGGATGGCTGTGAAGACATAGGAGCTGAGTAGTTAATGCTGATACCCCATTCACCGAGGAGTAAAGTTGGTGACTCCAGAACTTTCGCTTATTCTGAACAATTTCCCTGATCTACCAGTGGCTTAAGAAACAAGCAGCTGCCACTTTCAAAATGTGAGAGCTCTTTAAACAAGATGTTAGGATTTTATCTTATAGGACTTGAGGGGAGCGGGGGTGGGGAAAGGAATGTTTTTTGCTCTTTCCTCCCCCATTTAAAAGGATTTATTGGGAATTTGGAGTGGTCCCAGTTGACTGGGAACTGAATAACATCCCAATTTTCAAAAAGGCAAGAAGGATGACCCTGGAAACTACAGGCCTGTCAGTCTTACTTCAGTGGCTGGTTAAGTCATGGAGAAGATTATTCTGGGAGATATTGAGAAACATCTGAAGGAAAACACAGCCAGTACAGCTTCACAAGGAGAAAGTCCTGCTTGTCAAATTTGATTTACTTTTCTGAAAAGGTAAGCCACCTAGTTGACCAAAGGAAGCCAGTTGATGCAATCTGTTGGGAATCCAAGAAAGCTTTTGGTACCATTTCTCACAGGATATTTCAGAACAAAATATCCAGGCCATAGCTGGACAAACACAGCATGTGTTAATGGGTGAGCAAGTGGATTATGGTCAGGCATGAAGGTTATAGTGAATGGTGCGACATCAGACAGGGACCTGTCACTTTTGAGGCTCTGCAGGGCTCCATCCTCAGCCCCATGCTCTTCAACATCTTCATTAACAACTCGGACACAGGACTCCAAGGAATACAAAGCAAGATTTCAGATGACAAAAAACTGGGGACTGTTGAGTCCCTTGAAGGCAGAGAGGTCATCCAGAGAAACCTCAACAAAGCAGAGGGCTAGGCCATTCCCAGGTGTATTAAGTTTAACAAGGGCAAGTGCCCAATACTACACTTGGGATGGGGCAACTCTGGATGTATGGACAGACTGGGGAACAAGATGCTGGAGAGCAGTGCGACAGAAAGGGACCGGGGGGTCCTGGCCGATGGCAAGTTTAACATGATTCAGCAGAGCCCTGGAGTCAGCCAGGAGGGCCAAGCCTGTCCTGGGGAACAGCACCAGGCACAGCACATCACCACCCAGACAAGAGAGGGGATTGTCCCATTCTGCTCGGAGCTGGGACAGCCTCACCTCCAGTGCTGGGGGCAGTTTTGGGTGCCACAATATATGAAAAACATTAAACTATTAGAGAGCATCCAAAAGAAGATAACAAAGACGCTGAAGGGCTTTGATGGGAAACTTTATGAGTGGCTGACGTAGCTTGGTCTTTTCAACCTGGAGAAGAGGAGATTTAGGGGAGACTTCATTGCAGTATACAACTTCTTTGTGAGGGGAAGAGGAGAGGAGATATTGATCTCTCTGAAAATCATTGATAGGACCCGAGGTGAGACTTCATTGCAGTATACAACTTCTTTGTGAGGGGAAGAGGAGGGGAGATATTGATCTCTCTGACAATCATTGATAGGACCCGAGGGAATACCCTGAACTTTCATCAGAAGAGATTTAGGTTGGATATTAGGAAAAGGTTCTTTCCCCAGAGGATGTTTGGGTGCTGGAACAGTCTCCCCAGTGAAGTAGCCACAGCACCAAGCCTGCCAAGAAGTATTTGGACAATGTTCTAGGAACATGGTGTGACCCCTGGGGTGTTCCTCTGCAGGAACAGGAGGTAGACTTGATTCTTGTGAGCGACTTTGATCTCAGAATATTCCGTGATTCTGTGAATTGAAGCTGTTTGGTCTTGACAATAATTGAAGTTTCCAAGTTTTATGTGAGTAGAATTAAGAAAAAATAAAACACAAACAAACAAACAAAAAATTGCAATATAAATTTTTCATGAAAAACTGAGGTGTTAAAAAATAGTGTTGAGTCACTCCTTCATATTATTACCATAAACAAAGCTTTCATTTGCTCGGACTATTATGTTTAACAGAAAAATAAGCAGAATGGAGAATTGTTACTGCTGTCATTTTTCTATTAAACTAAACAGCACAGTTTCTATATTATTGGGGTACAATTTCATACATACATCAATATTTGTATTGCCTGTGCAGAGCACTTATAGTTCATTTCTGGCCAGTCATTCTTCTACATTGCAGGAGTCCATTGTATCACTTTTCTGCAAAATAAGATAAATCAGACTGTTGTTGAAAAGACCACATGCAATGCAGTGTTTTGTACTGGATCAAAAAGTGTCAACTAATAGGTACAAACCAGGAAGACATCACTCATTTGTCTTATTAAGGGAAGTTAAAAATAACTATTCATCATCATAGCTATAAGTTCAGCTGTATCCTAGTGCATTATATATCTAGTTCCTGACTGTGCTAACAGAACCTCAGTGCAATCAACAAGACATATGGAGGAAAGACTGAACAGTGCTTCAGCCATCCATCATGATTCTGCAGGTCGTGCTGAATCACAAAAAGCAAAGAGCTCAGAATCTTGAGCACCCAGGGTTGTTGGAGGACAAAAGTGCTTTCACTGAAAGTGCTGTTTTCTGTTAGAAAAAGGAAGGTGTTCACAGGCTACCATGTTCCTTTCTAAATACAGAAGAAGATTCTGGAATAGTATGATACTTTTGGTGTTGGACTTCAAATGGTCAGAAGAAGTAAAAAGATATTCTTACAGTCAATTATGAACAGGACACTGCATAGTATATGCTGTCCCTCACTTACATATAAGTAAAAACAGAATCTTCAAATATAAAAGAATTAGGGATGCAAATAACCAGATGCAGAATCTCTTTTTCTTGAAAACAAAATTAAAATTTAAAAAAAGGTGTTATTTGTCACAAATGAACAAATACCCCTCCTATGATTTTGTTTGCCAGATAATAGCATCAGTTATAGTGTGTAAACCTGTATAAGACCCCAACATCCTAAGAAGCATGTCTAGGACTGAAAAACCAAGCAACAAAACAAAAATACTTTTAGGCAGAATTCCATCTGCCACCTCACCTACAATTGCACTGCTTTTATGGATCTTTCTTGGAGAAGCAGCATATCTCATGGTTTTGGGGAAAATCATAACCCTTACAATGTACACAGCTGCAGTGCAGCACATACTGTGATGCTAATTAGAAACTTTCTGAATGCCAAGAAGAAAAAGATTCTAAATATAGACAGCTCTGCAGATTATACAGAATTTCTTTTGTCTCTGAAAACCTGCATAGGCCAGGACAGTGTGTTATCTTGGCAGGACATCTCGGACTGGTATGTGCAGCCTCATGATAGTGATAACATTTTAAATAAAGCAACATTAAGAAATCAAAGGAAAACAACAATATCCTACAAAGTTGTTAATATGCTTAATGCCTAATACTCATTGGAACCTATAATTTGATTGGTCTTCAGAACTTGGTGTCCTGGGATATATCTCCCCATCCCTGAAAAAAGTAGTAAGACTCCCCAGTGCAGCCATAGAGACATTCATAACCTTCTACATTACTGAAAACAATCAAATTTATTATTTAGGGCCTCACAACAGTTTCAACATGCTAATAGGACTGCACCAGAGCCCAAGGAATTCATAGCTTAGCTTAATTAAGCATTTTTGTGACTCAGACCACACAAGTACAGAGATGACACACTGTTCTTGCAAACTACTAAGGAAAAGAGAAAGCTTGAATCCACCAGAGAATTTCTTTTTTCAAAAATTGATCCAGCAATTACCTCACAGTGGTAAAATGGAAAATTATCTCAGGAAGTAGGTTACTGAGTGTAGGAAGTATTCAGAAAAGTCCCCATCTATGATAATACAGCCAAGTCTTACTGGTACTAAGTATTGACATCAAGAAATGTTTTCCTGAGAAGAAAATGTTTTCACACTTTTTCTTTCTCTAGTCCTGTACTTCCTGAAGAATTCTCCAGTAAGTCAAATAAGTAAAAGGAAAAAACAGGAGTTGAATTATTCTTTTGCATTTATGATGATGTCTAAGAAAGAAGGAGCTGCACTGTACTATGTGTCCCTTTAAGAACTTGCAGGGCTAGTGACTGGAAACATTAATGTTTAGGGAGGATTTGATTACAAAAGTGACAATAAAAATTTGCAGCTGTCTGGTTTTCAGTGTTCTCCAGCAAATAATTACTCTGCAAAAGGTTTTTAAGTATTTTCTTGATTGCTAAAGTACGTGCTTCTACTGGTAGTTTGCATACATAAATATTTGGTCAGAATTTCGGTTTTCAGGCACAAGTGTCACTAGCACACTTTGTTTCCTGATAAAGTAGAAGTCTTTTTCAGAGTATTATCATGCATTACTATTATGATATCACCAATTTAAGGGAAATGTAGAAATAAATTCCAGAGCAAGACAAAAATTTTAGAAAAAGCAAGTCTATTAAAATGAGAATTTCTTTGAGATTTTAAGGGACATAGGTCTTATTAGCATGGCAGACATTTGGTAAATCATAAAGCCAACAGGGTTCTTCTGTGTCTGAAAGGAAAAAGCAGCCTGATAGAAGTCATGCTGTCATCATCCTTAGAAGTGGCACACAAGCTCTGGCTAGGATAATTTTATTCCTAGCAGTGAGTACAGTGATACATTTTGGAGTTAGGATGAGAATCATTCTAATTACTGCTGAGCAGTGCTCACACAGAGGTTTTTTCTGTTCCTCACCCCACCAATGAGATGGGTCAAGCTGCACACAAGGTTGGGAGGGGACACAGCCAGGGCAGCTGACCCCGACTGACTATGACCACATGGACATTCCTTACTATAGGGTATCGTGCTCAGCAGATAGAGCTGGGGAGGAGGCAGAAAGGAAGGGTGTTCAGAGGGTGGTGTGATGGGTGATGGAACCCTGCTTTCCAGGGAATGGCTGAACACCTGCCTGTCATGGGATGTGCTGAATGAATTTCTTATTTTTCTTTCCTTGTGTGTGGCCTTTGCTTTCCCAATTAAATTGCCTTGATCTCAAGCCACAAACTTTCTCACTTTTACTCTTGTAATTCTCTCATTGGCATGGATAGGTTGTTTTCTAATAAATTCTTCCATGTGGGAAGTCTGAAAAGTCAAAGGATCTTGCCTTTTTTTACACAGGGAAACAAATATTTTCTTCAAGTTTAACAAATAATTATAGCTACATCTGTGGTAGGAACATGTTATTGTTATTTTATGAGTAGGCAAGCTCAATCATTACTGCCACTGCACTTTGCAAAAAAACCGTATCAACTTTTATACTCAACTACAATTTTTTTTATGGATCCTCTTCCTTAAAACAGATTTCCAAAGTCACTAATAATTAATATTTGAGCATACTTATAGCAAATGTATTGCAACTAAAAATAACAGCATTTGAATTGTGTAATTCTTAGGAAAATTAGTAATATATATATAAGTAATTGTAAGCTAATATTTGAAGGTGAGAAGTATACACCACCCTTCTAAGCAAATGAAATTCTGAATTCAGATACTGACAGGTGACCAAATCAAGAAATGAAGAAAATATGTTATAGTCTCAGTTGTTAGTTTTAGATTGTTTCAAATTTTTTTTCTTTATAGAATTAAAAAATAAGACAAAATATTTAAAAGCAAAAAATCTGCATCTTAAAATATCAATAAAAGTTTGGGGGATTTTTGTTTTCCTTGTCTGGTGCTTTTTGATTGATTGGTTTTCTCTGTTGTTGGTTTGGGTTTTTTCCTCCATCTACTTTGCTTTAAATACATCTGCAGAATCACTCTACTGAGTAAGAGAGAAGACTCATGTGCTATTTTTTAATATTCTTTAAGGGACATTTTAATTCCAGATTTCTTTTCCTATCACTACCCATTTATGAGGTGTTTTTCCATTCACTCACAAACTGCAGAAAAGAGGTTGTTTTTCTGCAACAAGAAATGAAGTGGATGTTGATAACAAAGCTAGGAATACTGTAAAATTTCCAAGATTTGGGTAGAAATAGGAGAAAGAAAGAAAAAAAGAAAAAGCAGTTGAACAAAAACTCTGAACAGGAACACTGAGTTAGGGAAAAGATGCACACACATAAAAATCTCCTCAGGCAAAACTACTTGTAAATATAAAGATGCACTGCAGGCCCTCAATGGGGACATTTGTTAAATTAAATGAGATATAGATACCACTTTACCAATTTCAATGCTTCACCCAGTGGCTCTGGGTCAAGATTTAGATTCTTTCCAAAAATTCATAGCTTAGAGAGGAAAGTACTTCTGACATTATATTTACTGTGACTTTGTTTGACTTTAAGAATTATAATTTTTTTCCCAGTTTGAAAATTATTAATCAAAACCATTTCTTTATATTCAGCTATCATTGACACTGATGTGATTTCACAAATAAAGAAGTGAATGAAAAAATCCATGTTAAACAAGTTTAATGAGGCACAGCTAGAGAAAATGGGTATTGCCTCGCTAGTTTCCATAATATTTCCTGACATCAGTGGATGCCTAAGAATAGACATTTTCAGCCAATCTGGTTGTGGTGGGGGTTTTTAAGCAGATATGTTAGCTGTCCAGAAATAATGAAAAGGAAAAGAAAAATGTTATCTAATCAGTGCAGAAGAAATATGTCATGCATTAAAACAGGAGTAATGAAAGGCATGAAAAAAATAAATTAGAAATGAGCAGAAATTGTTGGCTGAATAGAGTACAGAAAGCTTTTCATGTAAAATATAAATCATGTATAAATTAGAAATTTCATTGATGGACCTGTAAGAATCTGTATATTCAATAACCTGCATTGGAGCTGTTTAAACAGTAACTTTCTCCTATTTCTCTCTCAGATCTGAATCCCAGGAAAGTGAGGAAAAAAATGAAAAAGCAAAACTGAGAGTAAGTAAACACCCAAGGAAAACAACAATCAGACCATAAAATGGTTAGTACACAACAATTGATCAGATGGTTACATATAACTTTCATAAGTTCATTAGAGATCAAAAGAATTTCAATGAAGACATGGATTTCAAAACGCAACATGCTGTATTGAAGGTAATTCATAAAACCAAGCATTACAACCACTATGCAAGAAAGAAATAATGCTACTTACAATTTTTTTTAAACCAACACTTAGTTTAGGATCAAATTCCTTTGCAGTAGGATATCCATGAGGAAACTGAATGAAACTGTATCAGAGAAAGTTCAGAATGGGAATTAGGAAAAGGTTCTTCACTGAAAAGTTGCTCAGCCACTGGAATCCACTCCCTAGGAATGTGGTTGTGGCATCAAGTCTGTCAGAATTCAAGGAGCATCCAAATTATGTTCTTAGCCCTATGGTTTAGTTTTACACAGTCCTGTGAGGACAGGACTGGAAGTCGAATTGATAATTGGACTTAATGATCCTTATGCGTCATTTTCAAAGAGAGAAATTCTATGATTCGGTGACAGTGACATTGTGAAAATGGCTCCAGAGAGAGAAAGGTAGGAAGAGTCAAATATTTTGAAGGGCATTTTTTTTTTTGCCATTTTCATAAGACAATGTGTGAATTGTCATACTACAGTGCATTTGATCAAAATATTTTGCAACATACCAGTTATTGATAGGAATTATTTGGCCTTTATTTAAAAGGACATGAATTTTCTATGCAATACACAGTTGAAGAGAAACTGTCCACAAAATGCTCTCAGCCACATTTCCATGCTAGTGTCAAGGTCCTGGCAGCTCTCTGCAACAAACACTGTGCAGCACGTGGGACAGTCAACTTGAAAAAAAATAACTTGAAAAACTGCACTCAGAAGGAAGCAGCCAGAACAGGTTGTACAAAGGAAAATACTCTTTATTTAGATATTTAGATTATCCTTGGTTAGCCTAAAGCTACATATGGCATCTTCTTTAGCTATATTTTATGCAGCTCTCTCTGCTAAATCTTCCTACCAATACATCTTATTTGCAAAGCAAATAGACCTGCACATTAATTACCCAATCTTCTATTCAGGTTTCTGGAAAGAGAGTGGAAACAGAGGCAGTTAGGAAGAAGGAACAGTAAGAAGACTACAGACTTCTTTTACTGGTGGTCTGTGGGGTGCAGATAAAGTCCAGATGCTCTTAATGAATCAAGCCAAAAGCTGACCAAATTCAACTTCCTCCCTGGTAGGATTTCTGGACCATGTAAAAAACACTGCCAGAGAACAAGTTGTATGACAGGAACTGATGGAGGCCATTCCCACTCAAGAGACGAGCACAGAACATGTTAATATCATAATCCTGCACTCCTCTGAGATGCTGAAAATGCTTTGCATGCTGAAAGTTGTGTAGTTATATTAGCATAGTGCCTTACCTGAACAACACACTTAACGAGTCAGCAAGCTAATGAGCCAGGCAGAATGCCACACTAGCGTGACCAGACTGCTCCTGATACTGAAACAAACTGGCTCCAAGCTTGTTATGCTGTCTCCAGATGGCACTGCCTTGTGATGTGTAGTTGGACTTGAATGGCATGAAGGATTAAAATAAAATTTACAAAACATATCATCTCCTGTTTATGTTTCAGGTATCTGAACTAGGCAAAGATTGCCTGCCAAACTATGTAAAAATATTTTGAAAAAGTGAAACCACAAGTGTAAAGATAAACAATATTACAAAGGTTAAAACAAATTATAATACAATGTTGAAAAAGCAAAATTATTAGCATTGTTGGCAACAAAAACCCAGTCTTTCTTAGACTTTTGACTTTTATTCTTTACCCTCTTGTGCTACCCATCTTTACTTTTACCCCTCTCAGTCAGATCAAGGGAGGGGGTTATTATTATAATTGCAGGAGAGAGAACAATGCTTTTCAATTTTGCTGCAGCAATCATTCACTGAAACATTTATTGATTGAAAAAGACCCATGAGAATTCTGATTATCCTAACATTTTCTCTGGAAGTGAAAAGAACGGGCTTGCTTATTTCATTTTATGCAAAATTACAGTAATTGGTATCTGACCTTTTTGGAATAGACTGTTAAGCTTTATACTGCTGGATTTTTTTTCATCGATTCAATTATTTAAATTATGGCTATCTCAAAAGAAGCAACAGGGTGCAAACAAGAATAGAATATTTAAATGAAACTGAAAACTGATTCTCCACCACTACCCCATTAGTAAAAACATGCTATCAGCTGAAAATCCAACCTCTAGAGGCTTCTAACACTTGGATTAAAATTTAGTTTTTAAATAATCAAAATAAACCAGCACAAACAAGGACAAATGAAATTTCTGAGAATTAATAAAAAAAGGCTAAATGAAAATACAAGGATAGAAAAAATAAAAAGCTTAATTAATATCTGAAAATGTATATTGGAGAAATAAGTCATTCATGAATGGTCTAAGTTAAGTTACTCATTCTGAGCACATATCTTTATAAAAAATAAAGATAGAAAAAGAGAGAGCTGCTTAGTAAATCATCTGCAAAGTCAAATGCTTTCCAGAACAATCACCACTAAAAAGTCACCATTCCCAACTGGTATAATAGAAACAGTATGCTTCTTTCCTACCCAAGACAGGAGAAAGGGTACTGGCTTGTCATTAACATGGTAAATTGGTCCAAAACAAACATGAGCACAATTTTATAGAAATTACTTTAAGGAAAACTGAGATTAAACCACTGCTGAAAACTATATCTTCTGACACCAAATGGTTAAAAAAAAATAGGAGGCAAATATATAATTTTCAGAAATAAAGATATGCTAGATTCAGCACAGGATAATTTAAAAATTATCTAGTGGAAGATAGACAGTCATCATAAATTAGTACTTTCAGTCCCTTCAGACAGTCTCTTCTGGTTTGAAGTATTGTCGTGGAGTTTCTAGTCATATCTGGCAAGACTTTCACTCCCTCAAATAAGCCCTTCTTCAATTTCAATGTGAGAGCCACCACTACATCAGGAGGTGCTGAAAAGGCAACCATCCCCCTTGGGAAAGGACATGTAACCAGTCAGCTTCCTGAAAATAAAGTATAACTAATGCACTGAAGGAGTCTTTAGGGAAAATACCCCTAAGACAGCACTCATGTTGCCATCAATCTGCATTGCAGGGCTTGACATAGTTATTTTCTAAAGTCAGGAACAATTTGGCTTCCCAGCTCCTGAGAGTGTTTCCCATTTCCATTAGGATCCAATACACGAGTTCTTAGTTTCCCAAAAATAAATCTGCACCTTCCTTAGAAAAATGGTGTACAAACATGTGATTTCCCCTCAAACTTAAGCACGTCTTCAGGAGAAAATGTGCTTTTATTAAGATTTTAATGTCATTAACTGCAATTTCTCCAACCAGAAGTACCACCCTTCCACCTTTACTATTTTCACACTTCCCTCCTGCCCCGCAAGTAGGCTGTGTGTCAGCAAGAGATTTGGAGGGAGCACAAACATGACCTGAACTGAATAAAGGGATATTCCACACATCATGCTCAGGAATAGAAAAAGAAAAAAGAAAAAGAAAAAAGAAAAAAGAAAGAAAAAAGAAAAAGAAAGAAAAAGAAAAAGAAAAAGAAGATAAAAAAAGGAGATAAAAAAAGGAGATAAAGAAGATAAGGCAGGGATTGTCTCCCAAAGTGGCTACCACTTAGACTGTCTGGGCATTGGTCTGCTTGTAGGAGATGGACAGGGATTGCCTTTGTATCAGTTATCCTTTTTCATTCCTATTTGGATTCAACTGTCCTTGCCCTCACCCAAAAAGTTTCTTGGTTTTGTTCTTCCTATTGTCTCCTCCATCCCAGTCTCTGAGGGTCTGAGTGCACAGGTGTGTGTGGGTGCTTTTCCACTGTCTGTGGTCAACCCTCCACAGGCTACAAATGAAAATATACTTCCTCAATTGATTGTTCTAGAAATGATTAAAAAAAAATAACATCATTAAAGGATGCATATATCACATTCTTGTAACTTACTGTGAGGAATAATATTTTTATTCTGTGTTGCAATAATACTGGTTTTTCTACCCCTAATGATATAACTATCTGTAGTAATCATACTATTATAAGAAGCTCATTCAAGAATTTTAGATTAGGTTGCCATCATAATTTCATTTCATATTTTTGCAATTAAGTTTTCAGCAAGAAGTTTCCATAGCACTCCTGCAGTGTAATGCTGGCATGTCACATTTTACATGGAAAATATTATTTTCCAGCATCACATTAATCAGGAGTCCCTCTGATTGGGCACAAACTCCAAATAATGAAATTGTGGAGGTTACATTAGTCATTTAATTATCTTAAGTTCCTTCATTAACATATGCTGAAGCTCCTTAGAAATAAAAAGGTGGAGAAAAGTTCTTGTCTTTCTGGTACTACAGCAGTGAAAAAATGAAAACACATGCCAAAAACGAGACAGCATTCCAGGATTTTGTTCACAATGGAAAAAAAAAAGGTTTGTCACATTCCTTTCTATTCTGCCCTGCAGGAGCTCACTATCAATCTGTGTACAGGCATCCATAATTTACAGCAAATCTCAAAGGAGTTTGCATTCTGTGACAGAGCATTACAGATGATGTACAAAACCCAGGTGAAACTTGGAGAGACAAACACGTTCTGTCTATAGTCTAGTGCAGTGCATTTCTCCTTGTCAGGGACATACTAAATTTAATCACAAAAGTTTGAGTTAAACAAATTTTCAATTTACTCCATAAAAGTTGATTCCTTCTGTGAATAATTCAGACCTTTAATCTGTAGAATTCATGGGGGACAATTTGATCACCCAACATGTAATTTTCATTTCTAACTCAGAAATTATCAGGTTACTGAATCAAGAAACTATTTTGAGTTTTTTATATACATATATATACACATATATACCTTTATATATATAGGTGTGTATACATATATAAATATATATATATATATATATATATATATATATATATATATATATATATATATA